ATTCTTGGCTCTGCCACTTACTCTGCAATGTTATATGTAGTCTTTCTGAGCTGAAGCCTTCTTACATTGAAAATGCCAATTTTATTGTGCACCTCCCAGAGTCCTTGTGGGACAATGTACCGAAGTGTGTGGACCACTTGGGCATGTAAGTCCTCAGTAGAAAATGACAACTGTTAACTGCCACTAGAATCTTATCTCTGCCTCCAAATGTCACTGCCAGCCGTATCACACACATACTCTCACAGAAATGTGTCATCTACTGGCCTTGGGGTATGGAGCTTCTGCTTGCACAGCAATTGTTAAAGAGATTTGTTTCAGGCACTGTAGTGAACTACATATGCATGTAGTGGTCAGCTAGAATACTAGTTTTAAAAGCTCTGCCATAGACTTTTAAAAAAAGTTTAGGTTCACAGCAAAACTGAGCAGAAAGTGAAGGGTCCCCATGTACCTCCCACATACACAGGCTGCCCCCCTGTAAACATCCTTCTCCAGAGAGGGTGGTTTGTTACCAACAGGGACTTACCATGACACATCATCACCCAAGTCCACAGTTTACATGAGGGCTCACTTTGGGTATGCGCTTATTTCCATGGGTTTGAGAAAATGTGTAATGACATGTATCCATCATTATGGTATCATGCAAAAGAGTTTTACTGCTCTAAAAATCCTCTATACTCTGCCTCTTCATTCTTCCCTAGCAACAAAGGTAGAGAATTCCCCAGAAGTCAGAAATAACATGAAAACATGAATGTAAGGGTGAGTAGATCTAGAGATCTAATGATGACTATAGTTAATACTATATTGAATACTGAAAATTTACTGAGAGTAGATTTCAGGTGCTCTCATCACATACACACACAAGGAGTGACACACAAAAAATGGAATTATCTTCTGAAGGGCAGGCCCCTTGTAGTACAGGCTTCCCTTGCTAGGAGCCCATCTGTGTCAGTGTGCCAGCTGGCATTGTGAGAGGCTACATTTAGCTTCAGTGAATTTTTTCGTGAAGACTCTTTCAGAATGTTGGCCTGTTTTATGGTGGCTGACTCATGAGCTCACCTGCCCACACTACTCTGAGTGTTCAGCAGTTCTTGAGCCAAAATGGCCTGACTCCCATGCCCTACCCTGCTATTCACCTGGTCTCACCCTGATTGACTTTTTTTTTCTTTCCTGGGATGCAAGAAGTCCTCAAAGGGAAACTTTGTGCAGATATGGAAAAGGTGAAACAAAAAATGGTGAAAAGGATTGATGAGCTCAACAACTGTTTTGAGCAGTGGAAAAAATGTCTCAATAGGTGTACTACAGCAAAAGGAGGTGAAGGTGACTGAAGTTAAACATGTAAGAATAAATTCACAATTTTCTATAAATAAATTTGGTTTTTTGGGGGCCCCCCTTGTCCACCAAATAACAAGATATGTCAATTAACTTTTCTGTAGTAATCATTTCACTACATCTATGTATATCAAATCATCAAGTTCTATATCTTTAGCAGACTTTTTATTAAAAATAAATGTTAAAAAATTATACAAGTATACCACAAATACAGGGTAGGGCAAAAATACATTTATGGTTGTGAGTATGCAAAACACAGAGTTTATTCTTATATCATAACTTATTAGTTATTGTGTTGTTTTCCACAGAAATGACTGTGAACCTCCTGTGCCTCCCACCCCAGGTGGGCGTGGTGAGCGGTGGTTTACGAGCGATCTCTCCAGGGGCAGTGGGACTGGGCCTGCTACTACCTGGCAGAGGCAGTCCAAAACCTTCCTGAGTTGGATAGTTTAAATTCCCCTCTAAAAATCCACATTATCGTATATTTATATAAAGAAAATAAACTAAAACAATAACAAAATTACCAAACATATTGGTGGGGAGAAGCCACTGGAGTGAGAACCAATAGAAAAAACAAAGTAGAAAATCAGTCCTTTGAATCATGAATGTAGTACACTCACCAGCTACAGAATAAAACATACAGATCTTTAACTTGATGAAATATATAATGTTAATGTATTTCCATACATAAAGATGTATTAAATATATACTGAAGCTAGTAAAATGTAAGACAATAGTAAAATTAGGAATCTTTGAAAAAACTGGTTAGCAATTCTAGAAATTAAATATTAATGAAATCATAAAATGATTTATAATTAATATTGGAAACTCAATAGATGGATTAAACATAAAAGTAGATTAACTGAAGAAAAAAATCAGTGGACCTGGTCTACTGTTAGTATGCATTATCTATACAATTAGCTAGTAATCTCCCAAGGCAGTACACTCTATTTTAAACTGTTATGTAATGTTATAAGCCTGAGCTTTCCTCAGGACTCATATGACCTGAAGTATTAGCATTTATTTGTGGAGACTTAAGAAATTTTTTCTGTTTTCCAACTCTATAACTCAAAGGAATGTATTCGAGGGCATTCTTGATCCTTATGAACATGAAAAATAAGCACTCAGCTATGGTCTCAAACAACTCTAAACTCACTGGCAATATAGTAAAAAAGGGACAAGTTTAATACTTCAAAGGTTTCTGATGTGTCACTAGCTAGCTGTTGCATCCTGGGGAAATTCTTAACTTTTGTGAATCTCAGTTTCCTCATTTGAAAAAAATTGTGTTTTTTATTATGAAAGAAACTTATTTTCATTTCTAAATTTATCTCTAAATGTAGATAGAATAAGTATTCAAAGACAAATCCTTAATTAAACAAGATGATAAGGAGCTCTAGTAAGTTTCTATGCCTGAAGAATTGATATCTAATATTCTTCCTATTTTGAGGTAACTGCTTCATAGGAAAATAAAATAAAATGCTATTTGTTGAGCAACCAGAATACTCTTTCAGGACTTTATATATCTCATTGAATCTTCAAATGTCCTTGTAAGAAAAATGTAATTATCCCCATATTTTTGAAAAGTGCAGCTGAAGTTTGAGTTTATTAAGAAGAGTATGAATTTGAACCTACATCTGGCTGATTCCAAAGCACACAATGTTTCCACTTCATTGAAGCCATATTTTCCCACACAGTTTCCCTTAATGTCATATTTCTGAATATGGAAATAAATGACATTTTAAAAATGTCCTCAATATACCAGCTGTAATAAATAACACAGAATTTCTTTTTCTCTTGTGAATAACTTTTGGAAAAATAAGGGATAATTTTGAAATAAAATTTTCCATATTTGGTCTCAGAGGAGTAAGTAAATTTCTACTAAACCTATTTAGTTGTTAAATTATGTGAATGAATCAGTACAGTAAACTTTGTAGTCATCAGAAATTATGTATGAATTCTTCAAAAACCATAGTACTCTCAAACTCTGTACTTTTCCTCTGGTAAATATAATACTTTCTGAAGAATGGCTTTCTTTCACACATTTGGATAATAAAGATATTTGTGACTATTTAGAGCATATTTATCTATGCTCACTGAAAGACAAATAATTTTTAGCTACACGTGTTTCTATACTACAATAAAGTTATAAAACAATATTTTTATGTAAAGGTAGAATTTTTTGCTTTTTTCTTTTCTTTTTTAAACTTAAATATAAATGGTTTGGCTTAGTTTATTAGTTTATTTTTCAAATTAGAAAACAATTTCATAAGTAGATTTTTTTTTACAAATTGAACACTCAAAAATATCAACGCTAGATGGAATATAATATTTTGGTTATGTTAACTATATCTACAAGGTCACTTTAGTCTGAATTCTAATAAAAGGAAAGGAAAGGTAGGTCATTGGTTCCACATTCAAAAATTGATCTAGGGGTAGTATAGTGAGACAATTCTCTTGCATTTCTGAACATCCTAGAAGGGTGGCACTAACTACCCTTTTGTTCCAGACACTTTAAAAAATGTTTATATACCAAACAGCCTAAGAGGACAGAGCTGGTATCTCCTCTGAAGCAGAGGACAGGTTTGCTTGCAGTCCAATATAATAAGGAAAATGTTTTTGCATCAGTACAGAAGACAGATTAATTTGCAACACACTATAAAATATTTGAGGTCCCTAAGTTTGGATCAAAAACCTAACATGAGTCTCAGGCTGGTGCGGCTCAGTGGATTGAGGGCTGGACCCCGAAGCAAAGAGTCTGCAGTTTGCTTCCCAGTCAGCGCACATGCCTGTGTTGCAGGCCAGGTCCCCAGTAGGGGTCGCACGAAAGGCAACCAAACAGTGATGTGTGCCTCTCTCTTTCTTTCCCCTTCCCTTCCCCTCGGTCTACAAATAAATAAATAAAATAAAATAAAGTAAAAATAAAAAACCTATCGTGAGATCAGCATCTACCTGAACAACTTCACTGAAACTCTGGAAATTTAGAAGCAAAGAAAACCAATACAAATATGCTAATGTTCACGCTACTTTTTGTGCTATGAATAATAAAGCCCTTTTTTCCTGACCTAAAATTTATAAGGGATGTCAGGCAAACTTTCTTCTACCTTAAAGTGGAATCACATCTCAAACCCACAAATTTCTTGACAGAAAAACATTAATTTCATAGCTTAAGAAAAAAGGAATTACCAGTAAAGGGTATGTGTAACTATATAATGGAATCATCTTGCTTTATGAACTGTTCTTTAAGCTTGTGCATATTTTATATCATATATTAGTTGATTTGTGGAATGCTGTTAGGAATCCTGGGTGTATAATTATTGCTTATAAACTCTATAGTAGTTTTGAGAAACACTAACTTATAATACTTTAGGACTATAATAATGTGTCAGATGTGCCTGGCTGTGGGTATGATCTTAAAACATATTAATGGGAATTAGCACAAGCCAGCCTTATCCCAGGAAACATATCATATCATGTTTTATAGCAGAGGATAGTTATGTGTATTTTATTTATATAATTATTTCAAATTATTTATAATTCATATAATTTCCATAATTAAATATTGTATTTGTTTATAAACCTTGAAATTATAATCATGTAGTATATATAATATTTTGTATACATTGTGTGTATCACAATAGAATAGAAGTAATTAAAAAGGGCTTTCAAGCCCTTGTATCTGCAGCGCATATACAGTCATAAAACTGGAAGGAGTAAGCTTAGCATAGCCCCTGCACAAGGATGACATGCAAATTCATGAATCATTCTGTATGTGGCTTTCCCTTCTAATGTTTATGGGTGACAAAACAGTCTTGATAAATGAGGTGACTTTTCCATTTGAGGTGAGGGCCCTTCAAGCTTAAAATCCCACCCTCAATTTCTCCTTCCAAAAAATGATTTGCTTCCACAAATCAATATTTATGTAAATAGTTTAAAGCTAAAAGTTAACTTTGTTTATAGGAAGATCTATAATGCCTTATCTTGACTTCTTTCTCTACTAGAGAGTGAGTGGATCAGTAATGCTTTAACCTATTTTTTTCAATTAAAAGTGATATATATGAATGGAGGCTCCGATTCATACACATATGAAGTTCTTCTGTGTAAAACAAAATTCTATATTTTTAAAGATAATATGATAAAAAATTAAAATTTGTCATTCACGGAGTATTCACTTAGAAAACTCTTACATCTTCAATAGGCTATGGGGATAATTACTTAAATTATTACCTAAGGAAAACAATAATTTTAGTAACAAGTTTATAACTCTAATATGTTCTCACTCAAAGTGTGAAAGAAAATTATTTTTACTTACATTTATTTATTGCTTTTTATAATGAAAGCAATACTTAATAAGCACTCAGTATTTTATATGATATTATTTCTTTCTAACAGAAGCATATTTGTATTCTAAATTTGACATATAGAAATCATCAGATACAAAAATCTAATAGACATTGAAAAATGCATGTGAGTGTATAGATGCGTGTCATGAGAATTTCTGTTTTATAAAAAGTAGTGAGTATAATAATATTTTTTTAATGTTTAATTGCTTCTCAGCCTTTGGCTAAGATCAAGTATAAATGTTTAATTTTTTCACCAAGCCCCTATATTAATGTATCAATATAATACCACTCGTCAGCTTCTTTGCAAATAAACCTATTAAAGGAAATTAACCAACTCTACGTGGCCTTCAATTAAATATATCAATGAGTAGAATTAAAGATTACTTTTTACCAATAAGTAGAAATTTTTAGATATGTCAGGGATCTGAAGTCTAACATTATAACAAAACAAACAAAGAAAACCCCAAATAAACAAAAGCAGGTGGCAGTAGAATTGATGTGGCCACTAAGTCTGTGTTATTTTAAAAGCCAAGCTGCTTACATCATCAAGCATTATTCTATCAGGTGGGCCCTAGTTTAGATGACCTACTACATTAACACTCCCTGAGGGAGTCTGAGTTGGATAAAGGAATATTTTCCAAGAATAATTAAATTGAAAAAGTGAAACAGGAGAGAATCATATCAATGGAACTTCTGTCAGGGTTATTACTGAGCAATTGCTAAAAATTATTTGAAATAACTTTGAATCAATTAGGACTGTGTACCCTTCTTATCTTTTGGAAATTATTTTTTCTTTATTAAAGACACAGTAAAGCTTTTATATATTATGAAATAAAATACATTAAAAAAATACCTGTCACAGATTTAGAGTTCTGGTAATGAGGACTTCCAGAGGTCGCCCCCAGACTATTGTTTTGTCTAGTTTGGTGGCTGATCCTGGAGTCTCCCCTTCCACCAGGGTCTCCCTGGAACCCTGTCCTTGGTCCAGGGTTTACAGACTTCTGCAGATAGTCTCACCTCGAGGGTCGGTAAGTCTTCCTATGTGGCAACTGAGATGGCATAAAGACTATGCATAAGGGAGTTTTTTTTACTTAAAAAAAAAACACAGTAAAATGGCTACAGCTATTAAATCATTAATATATTTTAGTCATTATATGTAGCCTATTATTATATATTACTATGTGCATTTTAAGAGGAGCAAACTAATGCAGAAAGAAGGTAAATAATGTGTCTAACATTTTCCAGGTAATCAGTGAAAAACCAACTTAACTATGTGCAAGGTAGTTGCTAGGCAGATTGAAAGCTGACTATAAGGTGAAGTCTCTTCTTTAAAAATGAATTAATTTATTCTCTAACTTCTCATAAGTCACATTTCTAAGGCCTCTTCTAGTGAAAAATTAAGTGGTATGCCTGATTCACGGAAAGCAGTAGAAAGCAATTTTAAGCAATAATAGTTCTAAAAACAATATCCTGTTGATACATTAATATTTATTAGATGTGGGTAAATCTATTAATGCCATGGCAGAAAAGAATTAATATTGCTGATTTTTCCTTTTACCTCAGGCTTCAGTAGATCTCAGAACATCACTATCTGACCCTGTCATTTCAAATTTTGGTATTTTTCCATTATAGGTTTTTACATAGTTTTCATTTTAAAATATTACATTAAAATATTTATTTGATTATTGATTTTTTTTGTTACTACCTTAAATTCTGTGCCTAAACGAAATATTTCATTTGTCCCATTTAACTAGTCCTGCTTTACCCTGGTCCCAGCCCTACTTAACAGCAAACATGGAGACACATTATAAATTAATATCTATACAAATTTACCAACCTTTGATTTTCTTTTTTATATTACTTTTTTAACTTAATTTTTATTGCTGTTACAGATGTCCTCATTCCCCTCCGTTCCGCCACCTCCACCCACTCCCTACTTCCCTCCCCTCTGGCCATCACCACACTGTTCTCTGTGTCTATGGGTTATACATATATGTTCTTTGGCTAATTCCTCCCCCCTGAGCTATGCACCTCTCACAGAAGAAATCAAAGACCCACCCTTTATGTAGTATTTGGTATTCTGCTATAAGGACATGAATGAAGAGATACAAATCAGCTGAACAATACAAATGGCAAAACATATGCTTTCAGGTAGAATTGTACATAAGTTGACTAAAAAACATTTATTATAGTTGGTTAATAAGTACACTAACATCCACTTTGTAAAAGGGTATTTTTGTTATTCCATGGACATTTACTTAAATATAGCAGTTCCATAATAGTGAATATTGTGTCTGCAGATTCCATATCTTTTAAAAGATAGAATTTAATAACTTTTATTTTTCCTTCCTTTCATAAAGGACATTCATATACTCTATGTGCTACCGAAGCCCCCAAATAAATGAATTTTGAAAAGTAATTCAAATATCAGGGAATAGCAAGTATTTTTCAATCTACTGCTTTTTTTTTAACTCTTGCAGCCTGAAAATAGAGTAAAATATGTAAAGGAGTGATTAGTGATGCAGTTAGCCTTCCACCCTTCCATATAGCTTTGGCTCTATTCCCAAAATTTCTGTTTTTAAACTTTTGTACCAACACTCCTCTTCTTTATTCATGAAGTCATTTTTCCTTAGTGATCAATTACATCTATCTTTAATATATTTTAAAAGAATAGGGATGTTGCCTGTCACACGCAAATGGCTCTTAGAGAGTTGCTGGTTTCTTGCCAGTGCTGTCAGCATTCCAAGCACACACTGGCTTGGTTTAGGAAGGAGCCATAAACAGCCTATCAACAAGTATTTATACAAATGTTAATGAATTTAAAATTCTGTTAGTGGAACATGTATGCCAAACCCCAATTTTAGTTGTGCTTTATTTGTGACGTATGATGCAATAACTTCTTTTAATAAACACATACAGACCACTTTTACTTTATAATGTAAATCACATTTTTAGTATTTCCAGCATTAAGATACATAGAATCAGCCATTTATCAACGTTACCAAAAATATTTCCATCATAGGAAGCATTTTGCTCAGCACGCAGTCGTGTCCTCCAAAAGCTTTTGGTAAAGAAATGAACTCATCTCCGTCCATGAAACTAAGAGTATTTTATTATTGTATTACTGAGAAAAGCCATTAAAGGAAAAGAAAATAGTCATGGGAAAGTTGCCATATGTATAAAAATATAAATAATTAGCTTTTTTTGTGTGCCCCAAATGACAGTTGAACCTTAATATCCCTCTGTATAAAATATGCTATATTGAAAATTTAGAAAACTGATTTATTTGAAGCATATGGGTTTAATGGACAATTATTTTGCTTTTCATGAAGAGAAGAATATTTCCATTAATTTAAAAAAAGACTCTTTTGGTGTACTTCTTTAAAGCTGAACTGCTTTTCTCTAGGATTGCATACCTTGTGAACATTTTATAAAATAGCCTATATAACAGAATAGTTTTTCTTTTGTTTTTGTTTTTAATTTGATACCTTTAGTTGTCAATTCTTTGAAGCACCATTAAACCACTTATTCAGTAATAACACTCAGCAGATAACAGAAACCCACTGCACAATTCATTTCCCATTTGTCCAAATAACCAGTTTCACGCTGCAATGCTTTCCTAGATGTAAGTTTTTCTATCACCGGAGAAACATTTTAAATAGTCTGTCTTTGTAAAAATTGAAATAACTCTCTAAATAAGAATTTAGACAGGAAGTGAAAGCAAGGCTGGATTACTATAAAAACAAAAACTAACACCATAATTGTAGAACATTGAAATAAAATTATGAAACTATATATGCAAATTATATATATATACACACTATATCAAAATATGTGTTCTATTTTGCTAACTTTTTGAGATAAAAACCAACTAGTTTAAGCATCTCTAAATATTAAAGTCAGGATTATATTTATTAAAAGCAAAATAAATCAGTTCTGTTGAAGTAAATATATACACCAAGATAAATATTTGAAATTGTGGAAACAGAAATAGTGAACAGCTTCAAATTTCTCAGTATTTTATTGTCTTACATGTTACTTTTTTTCAGACTTTTTTTGTTAAAAATAAGTTTACTTAATTTTAAACTAAGGTCAGTGTGCTTTTTTACTTGTTTTTAAAGGTAAAATACTCATTAAAAATGAGAGGTATTAGGTTTGTACCAGCTAAAGAATAACATTTATATTTGTTTTTACATGTAACAATTATTAAAACATACAAAGTCCATATGTAGTAGGTAAATATGTAAAAAAACACATACACACAGTAAACTGCACCATTAAAAATATAAATGTACCTTCTATTGATTATATAAATATCAAAACCTAAATATTTTGATTTAAAAGTAGCTTTTATACAATATCAAAATAGTGGGCATTGTTTGCTTTCCTAATATAATAAATAATAGATGCATTTCTGTCTCAATTAAATAGTA